GGCCCGGGCCCTCTGCAGATGTCCTAGGCATTGCCGCCCCACGCCCAGCCTCGGAAACACCAAACACCCCTGTGTGCACTGGACACACGCTGAAGCCAATACTGAACACTGGGACTTGGTTTACAGTCAGAAGGAGGGGGATCTTGCTGCTGATTAATATGAAAGTCTGTGACCTGGTGAGCGTTCTGTGTGGGACGCAACTATCTCCACTGTTCCCGGGGCCAAGAGCCCTGGTGTATTGTGGATGTAGGCATAGGTGGCTCCGACTCCCCACACCCTGGTCCTCTGTCATCAACAGCTGGGACGCCTGGGTTTTCAGTCACATTCTGCTCTTTGAAGAAAACTCAAATCATCTGTGAAATATGAATACAACCCTGTGTCCCTTCCCTAACTGTGTAGATAGTGCTTGGACTTCTCTCTCCTTCACTCCACATCTCTGGTTTCCGCTGTCTGGCTGTCCACACTCCACGTATGTCTCAGAGACACACAAGGCCCTCTACATTCACCCTCTGAGAGTGCCACTGCTCTGTCCCAGTCCCCAAGCTGCCCCCACGCCCAGGAGAAGTTTAGAGGATCCTCTTTGTTTCCCTAGAGAAGGTGAACCCCTCAAGTTGCCATAGCAGACAGTGTGTCCCTCAGCCGTTTTCGGCACGCCACATCTGCCAATATATATAGAGTGCTCATACAGTTCAACAAAAGGAAGACAAAGAACCCAATTAAAAAATGGGCAGAGGAGCTGAATAGACACCTCTCCAAACAAGACATACAAATGGCCAAGAGACATATGAAGAAATACTCAACATCACTAATCATCAGAGAGATGCAAATTAAAACAACAATGAGGTATCACCTCACACCTGTCAGAATGGCCGCCATCAACAAATCATCAAACAACAAGTATTGGCGAGGGTGTGCAGAAAAGGGGACTCTAGTGCACTGCTGGTGGGAATGCAGACTGGTGCAGCCATCATGGAAAACACTATGGTGTTACCTCAAAAAATTAAAAATTGAACTTCCATTTGACCCAGTGATCCCACTTCTAGGAATATACCCTAAGAAGCCTGAAACACCAATCAGGAAGAATATATGTAGCCCCATGTTCATAGCAGCACTATTTACAATAACTAAGATCTGGAAACAGCCCAAGTGTCCATCAGTAGACAAATGGATAAAAAAGCTGTGGTACATGTGCACAATGGAGTAGTATGCAGCTGTAAGAAAGAAAGAGCTCTTATCCTTTGAGACAACATGGAGGGACCTAGAAAGTATTATCCTAAGTGAAATAAGCCAAGCAGACAAAGGAGGCAAGAACATACAATGGGGTAAAGATAATTTATTTAATAAATGGTGTTGGAAAAACTGGACAGATACATACAAAAAAATCAAAGTTGACCTAGACTTCTATTTTACTACTTAGTTGATTGCACACCCATTATGTGTCAGCTTCTATCACTTTATCAATGGTGAGAGCTATTTTCCCCTTTCTGGAGCCTTGAGATTTTGTTTGTAACCTGAAGAGGTGGAAGAGTCTTGGCAAGGGTTGGGGAGGACCCTTGCACTGCCCCATACCCTCTTCCAACCCGCAAACCTCCCACCAAATGTGCAGCCTCCTGTTTTGAACAGCAGACTCCTAGCTGGGTGGCCAGGTCTGTGTCAGAGCCCAGCGTTCCCGAGTGTATGGGCCCCGTGTGCTGTCAAGGACCCATGGGAGAAGCCTGCCATCCCACTGTCCCACCCTTTGTGCTGCCCCCCACCATCATCCATCTACTGCTCCTTCACTACAGACGTGGGCCCCTGACCGACAGCGCCCTGCCGTCCAAGGCCTAGTACCATGTCAGGAAACCTCAGCATCCACAGGATGGCCCATCCAACACAACGACCTCATGACTCTTGGCCTCCAACTCCCTGCACTGCAAGCCTGGCCACAGCCTGAACCTTGTCATCTCCCAAGCACACGATCCACCAGTGGCTCTCTCACCAACACTGTGGACACCTCCAGCTCACTGACTTATCACCCCTCTCCTGTTGTTTACAGCCGCATCAGGATTTTCAATCTTCTGACGTCTTCATCTTCTTTCAAACTCAGGCACCAGGGGCCCCCACTTAGACCACTACGCTTCTTTCTCTGGTCCCTTTTGTGTCACATGCTCAGGGTAAAACTTCCAACTCAAATGGATGGAACTAAGTTTGCCTTTTCTGTGCCTGTGCTGGGCCACAGAACAATGCAAGGGGTAAAACACACCCCTGCTTGGTTGGCAACCTCATAAGTTAGCGCCCACCAACCTCCACCAAAGCCTCAATGCTGAGAGCAACGTTTACTACAAAGTTCAGCGAAATACATGAAATCCATTTCTAAGTGCCAGACATTAAAAAAAGAAAACTTGAGGTCAAATGATTGAATCAAATCAAGACACAGCTGAGCGGCTGTTAAGACTTTGAAGACATGAGAACAAGGCTTATGCCTAAAAGGCTAAAACGCTCTTGCCAGGCGAAAAGGAGACGAGGCCTCAGCCCTCAGGCCTGAAGCAATACCTCCCTCTAAACCAGGAGCTACAGCGGACAACAGCCCAAAACGCAGCACAGAGAAGGATCATGCGCCCTTGGCACCTGGGGAAATCAGGGCTCATGTCTGCAATAAGTTGGCTGTAAAATCTCAGCTGAGAAGCTCGCACTGAAGTCCATCTGAAACTGACAGATGAAGATTCGAGCAAAAACAACCATCAAACTCTCCGTCTGCAGATGCCGTTCCAGTACAGGGTACTTGAGATCTCATGAAAAGCATTTCCTGCTGAAGATGAGCTCAAAGGAAAGAATCCTAGTACCTAACCAAAGAGAGCCGGCAGGTGCAAGAAACAAATTCAGGGCCCAGAAAGTAGCTAGTGGAGGGATCTGAAAGAGATGTTAAAATACGAATGTGTGCCCTGGCCGGTTTGGCTCAGCGGTTGGAGTGTCGGCCTGCGGTACAGAGAGACCTGGGTTCGGTTCCCGCTAAGGGCATGTGCCTCGGTTGCAGTTTGTCCCCGGCCCTGGTTGGTCGTGCGGGTGGCAGCCACTCGATGTGTCCCTTCACATCGATGTTTCTCTCTCTCTCCCTCTCTCCCTCACTCTCCCTCCCGCTCTATCTGAACAAAAAATGGAAAAATGTCCTCAGGTGAGGAGAAAAAAAAAAAAAAAAAATACAAATGTGTGAGCTGGCTCACTTCCTCCACCGCTCACTTTTTCTACCTCTGTGACTTGCTAAATAAAACCTTTGCTTGTATTTGAAAAAAAAAAAAGAGAGAGAGAATATATAAATGTTCAAACAAAATAAAGGAAGAAATAAAAACCACAAGACAAGAACAGCTAACTTTGAAAAAGGCAGAATTCAAAAGGGATCAAAGCAAAATACTAAATGCGAGAGGCTCCATTTTCGCTTCTTGGGGTTTGGCAAAGACCAACGGGGACCGTGAGCATGGAGGAAAGAGGCATCTGTGTGGCAGGACAGTAAGAAGCCAGAAAAATGCCTGGGCACGTGGGACGGGGAAACTGAGACAAGAAAATTAAACAACAAAGCCAAACAATTTGAACAATTTATAGCCAGTTAGTGAATCGCAAGACCTTATCTTCCCCAACCAAGGACACCTGGGAGCAAATGGTTACTAGCCTCCTCCCTGACCAGAGGATGCAGAGCTTAAATCACCCGGCCTGGGAAAATAGAGAACAAAGACCCAGTTCATGCATGTGTGCCAGCTAAACCCAGGGCAGATGAAGCCAGGGAGCAAATAACAAAACCCCATTAAAGCCAGACAGTAAAACAGACCAAAGAATTATCCCAAATTCCCCTCTAAGCTCATTTTGATGCTTCAGTATATTAAAAATGCACCTGGGAAGCTGGTGAATATTCTACTGAAACCTCCCCGAAGGTTCTTGCCAGCGGAAGAAAAGGGGGAACAAAAGTCCCTCAGGACAAAGACTCGGAGCAGGTTAGAGCGCGCCCAGGCGCTGCCCCGGCCTGCACTTTTTATTTCTGGGGGTCCCCACAAGACTGGCAGCCGGGGAGGCGGTGGGCAGCTGGGCCCAGGCCTGCCCCTGATCCTGTCTGGAGGCCCCTTTCCTCTGACTTCCCAGTGAGCTAACAGCAGCCCCGCCTCACCTCCTTCCTAGGTGGCTCTAGCGGCCAGAGCAGAGACCGCCTAGATTCTCCTGTTGTTTCTTCCACCCTAATTCTTTCCTGATCCCAGCTTTAAATATGTTTTGTTTTTTGGTTTTTTAATTGATATTTTATAAAGAGAGAAAGGGAGAAATCGAAACGTCGATGTGAGAAAGAAACATTGTTCAGCTGCCTCCTGCACGCCCCCTACTGGGGATCGAGCCCACAACCCAGCATGTGCCCTGACCGGGAATCAAACCAGGACCTCTCAGTCCATAGGACAACACTCAATCCACTGACCACACCGGCCGGGCTACTGTCCCCAGCTTTAATAAACATATTCTCAAACCCATCTTTGTTCATACTGTGAAATCTTTGCTACACGAAGTCAAGAACCCACACAACACAGGCAGACCTGCTCCGGGCCAGTTCCTGTCCACTAACGTCTGGACACAGCGACACCCCAGTAGGTGGCAGCTGCTATTCCTTTATGTCCTTTCGCGGGCTCCCAGTCGCATTGATAATTGTGTAGAAACTCTGGAATGAATGAAAGGAATATGTGGTGTTATCCTTTTTCAGACAGATCAGGTCTAGCAAAGACTCGAAACTACAGCCATGTTTACTGAGTGGGGCTTTTGAAGACTGAAAGCCAGGGTTTCTGCCTGTGTAACAGCCCCAGGCCCTGCTCCCTGGTGAGCAGTGCATTCCACAAGGCAGGCTCAGGCAGCGCCTGGGTGGGGCCTGGGGGTCACAGGCCCCAGAGCCAGGCCCACCCCCGAGGGCGGGATGGCGCAGGAGCGGGCTGGGTGGGGCCTGGGGCCTGCCTGTGCCACCACACCCAACCCTCCTGCTCGGTGGAGTGCAGCGGAGAGCTGACCTGCGAAATCTTCAACCCCCTAGGGACAGGAGGCTGTGAGGTGACTAGGATGGCCTGGTGGAAAGCCTGGGTAAGTTCGGAGCCAGCAGAATCCAAGAATTCCCGCATGGAGCTGGGGGGAAGGGGAGAGGGGTCCGCTCAGCCTCGCTCGCCCCTGCTAGACCAAGCGCTGGGCTGCCCAGTGGGCAGGGAGTCAAGCAACGGCCTAGCCTCACAGGTGCTCGCAGCAGGGACAGAAGCAAGTGAGACAAGCAGGGAAAGGAAGCTCGAACAGAACCAGGAGCGGCTGAGGGGTAGGGGACTCAGAGGAAGAACCCTCGGGAGAGGGCACGGCTGAGCCCTACGTAGGAGTGTGTGGTGTGTGCGCATGTGTGCAAAGCCCAGAGCGTGGGGAGCTTAGAGCTGGGGAAAAGAATTTGACCTGGCCTGACCACCTGGGTAGGAGGGCACAGGGTAGGGGAGATGTGTCCTGGGTAGGAGGGCACAGGGTAGGGGAGATGTGTCCTGGGTAGGAGGGCACAGGGTAGGGGAGATGTATCCTGGGTAGGAGGGCAGAGGGTAGGGGAGATGTATCCTGGGTAGGAGGGCACAGGGTAGGGGAGATGTGTCCTGGGTAGGAGGGCACAGGGTAGGGGAGATGTATCCTGGGTAGGAGGGCACAGGGTAGGGGTGATGTATCCTGGGTAGGAGGGCAGAGTGTAGGGGAGATGTGTTCTGGGTAGGAGGGCACAGGGTAGGGGAGATGTGTCCTGGGTAGGAGGGCACAGGGTAGGGGAGATGTATCCTAGGTAGGAGGGCAGAGGGTAGGGGTGATGTGTTCTGGGTAGGAGGGCACAGGGTAGGGGTGATGTGTCCTGGGTAGGAGGGCACAGGGTAGGGGTGATGTGTCCTGGGTAGGAGGGCAGAGGGTAGGGGTGATGTGTTCTGGGTAGGAGGGCACAGGGTAGAGGGCTCCGGGCGGCCCCATACCCAGAAGGCCAGGGCGTGGCCGCTGTCCTGTGATCACCTAAACGTGTATTATAGCTGTAGAGGAACAGGCTGGATGAGTCACATCTTCAGCGAAAATGTTCCTGTCTGGACCTGCCCCTCAAGGCAAGTCCGAGCAGGAGCCTAGCTCGTCTTCTCCCAGCAATGAGGGGGCTCAGGTGGGGAGATCGGAGCGCTCCTGCTCCGTGCTGATCTCCAAGGGTCTCGTTCCCAGAAAAGCATCCTTTCTCCTGAAACCATGGCGTGGGAGGTGAGGCTGATGCTCCCCAATGCAGTGAAATCACAGCCCCTTGGGGAACTTTTGCAGGCACCGGACCCATGGCCAGGCCAGTCACTGCTGCACAGCCAGCCCCCAGCTTGGGGGCAGAAGGAAGCCCCTCCTGGGTGGACCCCAGAGCTCAGCACTGAGAGCTGAGAGGCCCTCCAGGCTCCCAGACGACCTGCGTCCCTGTGGGGGAGGCTTCTTCAGTGAGGAGTCCCAGGAAAACTCACTGTCTGGAGCAGGCTGAGTCACCAGTGCAGTGGGGGAGGTCACAGAGCTCAGCCTGAGTCAGCTGTGGGTTCAGCCCCCAGCACCAGCACTTACCAGCAGCGTAACTTTGACAAGCCCTCTGCGCCCAGCACCCCTGCCTATAAAATTCATATTTACCTGGTGCAACTGTCCAGAGAAGTCAAGGAGCAGAGCACAGCATCTAAGCACCGGAGCATTTAACCCTCAGAGCCGGGTACATGGGAGGGGCTAGAGTCACTAATAGTAGTAACGGTAGCTAATGACTCCACAAACAAGGGACACACTGTCGGGCAACATCTGGGACTGCATAGGCTCTCTGGGTGCAATTTCCAAAAAGAATCGTTTCTAACCATTTCTGCTGTAAACGATGATGGACTCTGAGTCTCCCTCAACTTCAAAGGCCATCTCCAATCTCCCTCAACTCTTCCGCCTTTCCTCTCCCAAAAGCACATCCTGAAGAGGGTCATTTATTCACATCTAAGAAATTCTATAGGACAAAATCTCAAGAACCCGCAGGCGAGCCCTTGGTTAATTCCAATATTTGGAAGTCAAGGACCCAGGCACTTTGGTTACCTGGGTTACTTCACAGTTCTCAGAGCATTGTGCAGTTCCTTGGAAACCTAACCCTGACCCCTGACCCTGACCCTGACCCTGACCCTAACGCCCTAACCCACCAGAGTCTGGAGACTTGCTAAAGCCCCGAGCTGTCAGGATGCCCTGAGGGTGGTCCAGGCTCTCCACCTCCTTGTAAGGAAGAGGGCAGCTTGAGCTCAGACCACACCTCCTGCCCAGTCTCATCACCCCCCGCAGGGCGATGTGCTGAGCTCCGTGGAGCGGGTCCTCACTAGCACACTGTCCTGTAGCTGTGGGTGGGTTGTGCCTCCTACTCCCTGTCGGTGGAGCTGGAGGGAGCTGGGCTCTGGGCCTGCTTCCCTCCCTCAGATGGCTGGCCGACTGGGAGAGCCCAGCCTGATCCGGAGCCCACGCCCCAGGGCAGGGGCAGGGCAGGGGAGGTTCAGCAGCTTCTCCCTGGCGCCTGCCCTTCCACCAAGGGCCATTCTTGGAGGAGAATGGTCGTCCCGTAGAGCACAGACGGGGAGCAGCAGCCCCTGACGGCCAGGCCAGGCAGGCCACAGGCTCTCAGGACGCCGCCCTTTGTCCAGTACCGTCCTACACAGCTGACCTGCCTATGCCCAGGAAGCCACCTGCCCCAGGAGGCACGGCCGCCCCTCTTCCCGCCCCGACGCTCACACCCGGCAACGCCCCTCGTTTCTCCTCCAGCTCCGTCACCCGGAGTCTCCTCAGCCTCATCGCGCAGGGCCCGGGAACAGTCCTGGCCGAGGGAGGGGAAACTGCAGGTCCAGGCAGGGCCCCTCTGAAGACAACGGGGTGTCCGGAACACACGTGGTCATGGTGCCCCGTCACCCCAATAAAGCACCGCTGGGCTCTGAGTCCCGGCTGGTTCTTTCGGAGGCCAGGCCCTCTCTCCCCACCCCCCAGGACATGTTCCGGGTTCTTCCCTCTTCCCGCACCAAAGGCGGCCCCAGGCTCTTCCCCCTCTTCCTGCTGCCCCGCAGTAAGTGTGGCAGCTCTGGGAAGGGCCACAGCGGCCCCTTTGCCTGCGCTGCCCGGTCTTCACACCCCGACCCCCGGGCTGGCACTGCTGTGAGAGCTGCTGGCAGTGGGCGCTGACCAGCGTGGCCCTGCCTCCCGCCCCCGAGGACCCAGCTCAGGACAGGGCTCCCCTTGGCCAAGGCAGCCAATAGGCAGCGTGGAAACGGTCATGTCCCAAAGCTGCTGCCCTGGGCCGGCAAGGGCCCCTCCGGCCTCGCCCTGCCCCGGTGGACAGGCAGGAGGAGCCCAGCCAGGCAGGGCCGGGGCCACAGGAGGCTGCCCCTGGCTGCAGGCCCGAGCTCCTGCTCCCCCGAGCTCCTGCTCCCCCGAGCTCCTGCTCCCCCGAGCTCCTGCTCGCCCGAGCTCCTGCCCCCCAAGCTCCTGCTCCCCCGAGCTCCTGCTCCCCCGAGCTCCTGCCCCCCGAGCTCCTGCTCCCCCGAGCTCCTGCTCCCCGAGCTCCTGCTCCCCCAGGGCCAGGCCGCACAGCGGGCCAGGAGCCCGGGCTGCCCTGCCGCCTTCCCACTCGAGCAGGCCTGGGTTCTCTTGCAGGTCGAGCAGGAGGGCATCTCGGTGAAGGGCAGCCCGCATTTCAACCCGGAGCCCGACGCGGAGACCCTCTACAAAGCCATGAAGGGAATTGGTGAGTGGACGTCCGGGGCCTCTGCCTGCTCCTCTCCAAACCCCCTGCTCACAGCCCTGGGAGGAGGTGCAGACACGGCTGGGAGTCAGGGTCTCCCCAGAACCCAGGAATCACACAGGCCCTACCTCTCCCAGCCCGGGTCCGCACCCACTCCGGAGACTGGAGAGGTGGGGGCTCTCGCGCCTCCTGACCGCTCAGTCTGGCTCCTCCCTCTGAATGACCCCCGAGCTCTGGACCCTGCGTGTCTCTGTGGATTCTGGATGAGAGGATGTTGAGAGCCTCGTGGGGCTGACCTGGGCCCAGGGAGCAGAAGCCCAGAGTTTTGCAGCCTGTCCCTGCCCCTCCTCCCCTGGCCAGAGGGCGGCTCCTTCCTGTCTCCAGTGTGCGCATTCCTGTGGGCAGGAAGGGCTGCCCCCAAGCCAGCAGGACCTGCAAAGCCTGGCCCAGCCCTCACGCCACAGCCTAGGCAGAACGGACCCCCTCGCTGGCTTTGACCATGAATTAGGGCACCTACGAGAGCTACCGCTCCTGCATGTCCTCACTTCCTGTGAAATCGTTGTTATCTCTACTCCCCAAACACGGAGGCTTGCGGAGCTGAGGCCCGTGCCACCAGACTGTGAGAACAAGACTCTGATCGAGTTCTCTGGACCCCCAGTCCTGACCTCCTCCCCCGCCACCGTCACAGGTGGGGTCAGCGCAGAGGCCTCTGATGAGGCTCAAGGCCCCAGGCCACCCCGGGAGCAGAGGGCATGCCTCGCGGGCCTCAGATTCTGTCGCTGTGAGGCTGGCCTGGGCAATGCCCAGCACAGTGTGGGTGGGGAATGGACAGATGGATTTTTGTATGAAGGTCTTGTCTCCACTTGGAGAATCGTCAGGTTCTGGAGTATCCAGGGGGGTGTGTCCCCAGCGCTTGGCTGCCCTTCTCCCCAGCCCTCAGCAGTCCCCTGGGGCAGTGGAGGTGCTCACCCTGTGCGCCCCTGCAGGGACCAACGAGCAGGCCCTCATCGACGTGCTCACCAAGAGGAGCAGCCTGCAGCGGCAGCAGATCGCTAAGGCCTTCAAAGCCCAGTTCGGCAAGGTACTGGGGAGACTGGGGGTGGGAGCAGTGTGCTGGGGGGCCGGGCCTGCTGCTCCCAGAGACGGCCTGGGAGGCAGCTCCCTGCTGGACAAGGCCCTGCTCTGGAGGCCGGCCCCCTGGAAACATGGGGCATAGGGACACACTTGTCAACGGAAAGAACCTAAATCTTGGAAAACATTAGATTTTTACTCGAGGCCTTGCTTGAGAGCCGAGCCTTGAGGCCTTGCAGCAGCTCTGGCTTCTGGAAAGTGGGGGCTGCACATGGGCAGAGGAGTGAGGGACAGGTCATCCGCTGTGCTAGAGGTGCCCACCAGGACACCCCGGTTCTGCACCAAATGGAAGGAATGTGTGGAAAAGGTGAGGCTGAGCTGCTGTGCCCGTGGTCGGAAAGTTTTAATTAGGGCCTGCAAGCAATTCAACTCCTCGAAACTTCGGGGTGATCTGGATCAGGGCGTAGGAAGAACAGACAGTTATCTCTATCGGTGCTGAAACCGCGCAGGCACACGCGGAGTCCCACCCCTGCTTCCTGCCCCAGAAAGAATGTTAGGGGAAGTCATTGTTGTCTTGGCCACTGAGGGCGCCAGAGAGGCGGGGCACCGCCTCCTTTCTCGTCCTCACGCTACTGAAGTGATGCGTTCTGTATCCGAAATTCAAATCCAGCCGGCCCGTGCGTGCCCTGAAAACGTACTTCTGGTCCCCCCACGCTGGCTGGGTGTCCAGCCTTCTCAGGCTGGCCCACCTGCCTCCCCCACGTCGGCCACTTGGCTCCTTCACGTCGGCTCCACGGCCCCATCCTCACTGCCTCCCCGCTCTGTGCTTTGCCGCCCCGTTTCTGAGCGTGGGGTGCCCTTCTTGCACACCTGCCGCAGGGACACAGGACACACAGGGAGGGCTCCTCTGTCTGCGGGTGTGGAAGCTCCCTCTGCAGGGGCCCAGACAGCCTGGAGCCAGGAGCCGGAGCCCCTTTTCCCTCCCCCCACCCTCCCCCACCCCCAGGATGGACCAGGCACTGAGGTGCTGGGTAAACACAGTGATAAATGTTCGCATAGCCATCGTTTCCGGAAGCTTCCGTCAGTGCACATCGTTAATGTGGAGATATAGCACAGGGAGACGGGTAACAAAATCCAAACCTTCCGTGGGAGAAACCAAGGTGCATTTTTTTCCAATAATTTCTGTTGCCCAGCCGGTGTGGCTCAGTGGCTGAGCGTCAGCCCTGCACCAAGAAGTCACCGGTTCGATTCCCGGTCAGGACACATGCCCAGGTTGTGGGCCTGATCCCCAGTGGGGAACATGCAGGAGGCAGCCAATCGATGTTCTCTCTCATCGATATTTCTATCTCTCTCCTTCTCCCGTTTTCTCTCTAAAACTCAATAAAGAAATAATAATAATAATTTAAATCTCTTAATCATCACATGCATTAGAGGAAAATGATGTTCTGAGAGGTTAAGACCCCCAAGATCCTGGCACCTTTGAGCACCAAGGTCAGGGTTTCAACCCAAGTCTGACAAGGTCCTTTGCTCTGCTGTGCAGAGTGGGGTGGCCTTGTGGCTTCCTGTAGGGACACGTGCCCTTAGAAGGGGATGTATGTGAGAGATTCCGTAACTCACCCACGCATCCACTGGGGGCATGGCTAGGTGACGGGAATTTGCTGGTGAGCAGTGATGAACTTGTGCTTTGAGCTGGGTGTGCAAGACACTGAGACTGAGCTGGACCACACACAGGACCACACACATCTCTCCACCCGTCCCCCAAGCAGAAAGCAAAAGCGCCATTATCTCCATTTCGCAAGGAAGGGAAATGATGCCTAGAGAGGCTATGTCGCAGGCCCCAGAAACCCCAGCCAGGACCAGCATGTGGCAGAGCCCGCGTGGGGACCCGGCCAGAGCCACTGGGCTGCCCGTCACTGTGTCGCCGCTCAAGTGAGTGCAGCACACAGATCGTCACCTCTGTTGTCCCTGCATTAGGATCTCACTGAGACCTTGAAGTCGGAACTTAGTGGCAATTTCGAGAAGGTCATGGTGGCCCTCATGTACCCACCATACCGATACGAGGCCAAGGAGCTGCACGATGCCATGAAGGTAACTAAGCAAGGGGGCGGGGCAGACACGCTTACAAGGACTGGGTGGGGCGCGATGCCTGGGGCTCCTGTCCAGACAGCCTGGCACTGGAGCTCTGAGCTCCCCTGGGGCCGCCGTTTGGAATGGGCACCGGGACCTTGGCTGAGCCCCGCAGGCTCCACATGCTGCTCCAGCTGCCACTGAATGCAGGGTTGACTGGCCTCTGCTGTCACGTGGCCACGATGAAGCCAAACTCCGTGTTTGGGAGGACGTCCCTGAGCCAGCGTGCAGGCATTGGGAGCCAGCCTGTCTCACGCCTGGTTCCTTCGGGCCGTTGCTTCCCGCCACCCCATCTGCGTTTGCCGACGATGAAGAGAAACCAGGCGTCCTGACAAAAGGGGCTGTGGACAGAGCAGGAGGCCCAGGCAGACTTCTCTCACGCTGGGGATGTATCCACAGGGTATAGGAACCAAGGAGGGAGTCATCATCGAAATCCTGGCTTCTCGGACCAAGAGCCAGCTGCAGGAGATAATGAAGGCGTACGAGGAAGGTAAGGGCCCGCCAAGGTGTGGAGCCTGCGTCAAAGGCCCACTTGGAATGGCCTCAAGTTTTGACAGCCTGGTAGGGGACCAGGGACAAGCAGTGTATTGGGCCACATTGGAAACGTCCCTTTCTGGGCTTTTCCACACATAAGGGCTGACTTACTGCCTTGAGTCCAGTCCTGTGCCTAACGATGCAATTAGACATGACTCAGGCTGCCCCGCTTAGGTCTCTAAGCCCACGGGCTGCTGGGGATAAGGCGTGGGCCCACTAACGTCTCTGCCCCTTGAGGGCACGGCAGCACTGTGGGCCATGGGCTGTGTCCGTGCTGGGCTGGCTTCTCCTTGCCAGGCACAGGTAACCCACGGCTTTGGTGCCCTGGGGAGCGTGGACCACAGGCCAGCTACGGGGGAGCCCACGGTGCCGGGCATGCTGAAGCCAGCCTGCCCTGCTCGAGCTGTGCCAGGTGGGCGGTCCGCCTGCAGGCTCTGGCTTTGCCAGTCCACAGGATGAAACAGCCCGGTCAGCGGCCTGTGGCAGGACTCTCTCGGGTGGCCCATCTTTGCCCTTCAAGGAGGCTGGCTGTGTCACTTCCTGGTCCTGAACCACCACCAGGTGGCAGGGCCTCTGCCTCTCAGACCCCAGGGCAGTGCCCCTCCCCGTGCCAAGGACCCACCCTTCCTGGGAAGCTCGAGACAGGAAAAGTGTGGGAGGCGGGGCCGGGAGGCGGAAAGCAGTCTGTGCCCCTTGTCCGTTTCCCCTGCAGACTACGGATCCAGCCTGGAGGAAGACATCCGAGCGGATACCAGCGGCTACCTGGAGAGGGTCCTGGTGTGCCTGCTTCAGGTAGCACAGCCTGGCCCCCGGAGCCCCTGCCTGGGGACCTGGACAGCTCCAGCCCGGTGGGCAGCCCTGGGACGGCTACTGAGGGAAGCGGAAGGGCTGGGCGGGGCAGGTATAGCCCAGGCCTGGGCTCCCTGGGGATTCTCAGGGGGGGTCAGGGTTCTCCCTGCAAGCCCCACCCTCTCCTGAGGTAGTGCCGTGAAGGCACCCAGAAGTGGGAAGAGGGGGCCCGCCCCAGCAGGTCTTCACACCGGCCCCATGCAGCCGCTTCGCCTGCCCTAGCTCCCTGCACCCAGCTCCCTGTGAGAGTCCTTACCACTCATTCCGTGCGTGAGGAAACCGAGGCTTGGAGGTGATAACTGGCTGGCTGGAGGGCCCGTGGCCAAAAGGCAGCAGAGCCTGCCTGCCCTCCGCCCGGCCCCCTGCCCCGCCAGCCGGCCTCACAGGGCCACCTCCTCTGTTCCTAGGGCAGCAGAGATGATGTGAGCAGAGTTGTGGACCCCGCACTGGCCCTCCAAGATGCACAGGTGAGGCCACGCCCCAAGCAGCTTCCGCCCTGCCATCCAGACTCCAGGGCCAATACCGGCGGCCTCCCCCGGCCCCTCTGCCCACGGGGGTCTTCCTCGATGCCAGGCTGCGAGCCAGCTCAGCCCTCTGCTGCCTGAAGAAGAAAGTGAGGGTGTTGGGGGGACTCCGAAACAGGAAGGAGACTGCCTGGGCGGGGTCTGGCGAAGCTGTGTCCTGACAGAAGCAGCCACAGAGCTGGGCCTCTGAGGGCCCGTGTGTGTCCAGCTCCCTGCAGGCCTGCCCGCGGCCGGAGAGCTTGGACGCTCGGGGACGGAGCAGAGCCGGGGCAGAGATTTCTTAGTGCAGCTCCTGGCCTGGGTGTTGAGAGGAGGGTTAACCACTCGGGGATTTGACTTCCCACGGAAAAGGGGTCAGGCAGAGAATGCCGACCTGTCGTGTGGACGGGGGCTGTCCCTCGGCTCCTCACTCGCCCCGGGTTTGTTGTGGGTGTCCCTGTACCAGGACCTGTATGCCGCGGGCGAGAAGATTCAAGGGACCGACGAGATGAAATTCATCACCATTCTGTGCACACGCAGCGCCACTCACCTGCTGAGAGGTACCGGGAAGGGAGGCCTGGCCACCGGGTGGCGCTGTTGAGCCCTGCAGGCGGGGAGAAAGCCAGGAATCCCTGGTCCAGTGGAGGCCAGGGGCAGCGCAGAAGGCTCAGTCTCTGACCGAGGCCCAGCGTCCCCTGAGAGAGGCCCTCTCTCCGCAGTGTTCGAGGAATACGAGAAAATAGCCGGCAAGAGCATTGAGGACAGCATCAAGAGCGAGACCCACGGCTCGCTGGAGCAGGCCATGCTCACAGTGGGTGAGTCACAGAGCTCGGACCTCGGACTCGTGTGTGTCCGAGGGCCACAGGGCTCAGCGGCCGAGCAGTGCTCGGGCGACCATGGCAAGTGGCTGGGTCCCTCTGTTCACCTTCAGGGGACTCCCCACCAGCCCACGCTGTCACCCTGTGTCCTTCGGTGTAGAACACTGGAAGGTTGCACCCCCAGGGCCATCTGTGCGCTGTGTCCTGCCGGCGGTTGCTCTCGGTGCTGCCCACGTCGCCCACCCGCTGTGAGCGTGCCTGAGTGTGAGCGTGCGTGACCGTGTGTGCATGCACACATCCGCAGGGTCATGCCGGGCCCAGGCTCGCACTCACCTCAGCAGCCACACAGGGAACATTCTGGTTCTCACTGTGAGGCCTCAAAGAAAGTCACCCGCTGGACCTCAGATTGAAGACATGACGACGAGTAGTTGGGGTCCAGAGTGATGGCCTTGCTGTGGGGAGCACTGTGCACCTCCCCCAAAGCATGAGGACAGGGCCACCTAGGAGGACCCGCTCCGGAGCACACTTTGGGGTCCAGAGCTGAGACCACAGTGCGAGGGGTCACTGCAGAGTGAAGGACTGAGGCCCAGGGGTCCTCCTTCACTCCTTCCCTTGAAAAAGCCCAAGTCAGAGTCGCAGGGCTGGGCAGAGCCGTGCACCCGGCTGCCCCCATCCAGGGCTCGCAGCCAGGGCGCTCTGCCAGGTGTCCCTGGGGGCCGCCTGGGACAGCTGACACTCCCACAGGCTCCACTGCTGTGACCAAGTCCCGTCCGTGGTGAGCATCTGAGCAAGGCCCCTGAGCTTCCAAGTCAGCCCCTGGTCCGGTTTACCAGCCTCCTGAGTACCTCTCCAGGCAGGGGAGAGCAGGGTGTGCCCTGCCCACTGGGGGCTCATTGCTCCTCCAGACGCACAGGGTCCGCCCCCGGATAAGATAGTGAGGGCTGGAGGTCAGCTCCCGCGGTCCCAGGGCCTCACACGAAGCCGTGCCCACTGCACTGGGTCGCCAGCTTCCCCACCCAGATGCCCGGTCTCCGCGGCAGCATCTGGGGAAGCGAGCACGAGGCCACGCTCCGGGCCGAGGCATCGGGTGCCTTGGCGCTTCGGGGCCTGCTTGTCACACGGACACTCAAAGGTGGGGGCCTTGCGGTAACTGACACGCCACGCGGGGCTCTGAGGCCAGCAAGCACTGCCTGGGGCTCCGGTGGGCAGCTGAGCGGCTGGACTCAGGGCCGGGCCAGCCGGAGGGTGAGAGCTGTGCTCTGGGGGACCACCCTGCCGCCCGTGTGGCTCCAGCTCAGGCTTGTCTGCTCTGGGCCGCGCCCACGCCCAGGCCCCTCCTGTCCCGCCCGCCCACCCGACACAGAGGCGCTGGTCTTGGAACTGGGCAGATGGAATGAACAGGCCGGGCTTGCACAGTGTTAACCCTTAAGACCCACAACAAGACATGAACACACACGAGCAGTGCTGCCCACCGCCCAGAGCTGTTCTGCTTTTCTGCTTCCAGTGAAATGCACCCGGAACCTCCACAGCTACTTCGCGGAACGTCTTTACCGCGCCATGAAGGTAACTGCCGTGTCCCCTCCCTCCCCCCCACCCCCCCACCCCCACCCCCACCCCCACTCCCACCCCCGCTGCGGCAGCTCTGCCGAGCCAGGTGCACAGAACCACACCGGCTTTTCTTGTTGTTTTTAATTTATTTATTTATTTTTGTTACAGATGTTTGTCCTTTTCCCCCCACTGATTCCCCCCTGCCCCTCCCTCCCCGCCCTGTCCCCAGCTCTGTTGTCCACGTCCATTGTTCATGCATACATGCATATAAGTTCTGTGGTTTATCTCTCCCCCACCACCCCCTCTCCTGGGGATTGTCAGTTTATACCCCACTTCCACGTCTCTGGGACTACCCCATTCCTCAGACTGTTATGTTCATTATATTCCACAAATAAGTGAGATCATATGATACTGGTGCAGCCACTATTGAAAACACTATGGTGTTGCCTCAAAAAATTAAAAATGGAACTGCCATTTGACCCAGTGATCCCACTTCTAGGAATATACCCTAAGAAACCTGAAACACCAATCAGGAAGAATATCTGTACCCCCATGTTCATAGCAGCACTATTTGCAATAGCTAAGATCTGGAAACAGCCCAAGTGTCCATCAGTAGATGAATGGATAAAAAAGCTGTGGTACATGTACACAATGGAATACTATGCAGCGGTAAGAAAGAAAGATCTCTTATCCTTTGAGACGACATGGAGGGACCTGGAGAGTATTATCCTAAGCGAAACAAGCCAAGCAGAGAAAGACAAGTATCAGCACCATCTTTTAGGAGAAGACACCAGGGTGATCATAGTTTGATTCCTCAGAGGGGGCGGAGTCTGGGGAAGGGGAGCCTCTCCTGAGGCTGCGTTTGCACAGCTGCTGGACCGTGCTCGTTGCACTGAATGTATCAACACCCTGTGGTCCCAGGTCGTGTTGCCATCCTAGAGATGGTGACACTGAGGTGTGAGGTAAAGGTCACGCAGCTGGTCCATGGCAGAGCCTTGATCTGAGCCCAGGCCAGTCCAAGTGTCCTTTTCATCCCCTCGGGTGCCTCCTTGAGGGAGCAGGGTTTTCTGCGAGAGGGCAAGGCTGGGATTGCTAGGAGGTGATGCCACTTTTGAATGGACAAATCCGAAGGGAGATTGACACATGCAGCATCTCAGTGTCCTGCATGTGCTGGGTGCCACCTAGATTTGCCTGTGGTCCAATAGTCTGCAGTCACCAAAGGTGTCCAGTGTCCAAGCTACTAGTATCACAGGGAATGTCTGGTATCTGGAACCAAACTTGGAAATAAACAGTCAAATTAATTCCCCAAAATTAGAGTCAGTGTCCACCTTCTCTAATTTCCAGTTCCGGATACCACCTGAAGGCAGAACCCCAAGCTCTCTGGCCAGGAAATGAGAGAGGCCACGGGCTCCCCGTGTCCACGTGGCTCCGTCGGGCGTGAGCCCAGTGTAGGATGAGTGAGCAGGACGGTGCTGCCGGTGAACTGGCCAGTCAGGCTGAACTGCAGGATGCTGCCGCCCTGGGCAGAAGTCTCATTTCTGCAGCAGATAGTTTGAGTCTAGAACCCGATGTGCAAACCAAACACTGCGTCGGGGGCACTTGGTCTCCGATGAGGGAGGAGACGGGAGTAGTGCGAAGAGAATAGAGAATGGCAGCCATCAGCCACACAAGCAACACTCTCAATGCTTCAGCCGCTGAAGCAGAGGCTTATTCCTGCATCTCCGCCCCTGTGAAAACCCCGGACCCTCAGCGTGGATTTGTTCATCATCGCAGGGATGGACCGGAAAGGTGAGACGTGGTCCTTGATTACTCTGTCGTATCCAGGGGCTGGGGACGCATGACAGGACCCTGATAAGAATCATCGTTTCAAGGAGTGAGATCGACTTAAATCTTATCAAGTGTCAGTTCCAGAAGATGTACGGCAAGACCCTCAGCAGCATGATCACGGTAAGCCATGGTCCCAATTCTCAGACGGCTTCAAACAGAGATGTTACCAGGACACCTGGATGCTGTGACAGATGTCAGGTCACAAGTGTCCATCCCTTCCTTCCCAGAGGGCATCTCTCTCTTGTAGTCGCTGCCCTGTGGTCTGTAGAGGGATCCGCAGGGAGGTCAGAGCCTGGAGGAGAGCGGGGGGCCGGTGGGGGGGGGGGGGGACGCAGAGGCCAGATGACGGAGGCCCTGGGTCGATGCACCAGGAAGTTGGTTTGCATTTGACTTCTTGCTCCTTTTGAAAATGACACACCAAATCCTTGCAGAAAGGACCATATCTGAAGAATTGATGAGAGTAAATAGCTTAGGAATTGAGAGTTCTCATTCAAATCCAAATTCCAGTAGCCCTGGAAGCAGAATGTTAAGGAGATGGATCCGAGGGCCTCAGTGGGTTGCCTAACCAGATTCCGGTTTGCGAAGGCTCTGGGGCTGTAAAATACAGTGTTTAGCCCACCGCTGCAACTGTGAGAGAAATCGCTCACTGAGACGGGAATGCAGACTGCGGCTTTGCCAGTTCTACTCACAGAAGTCAAATCATGAAAAAGACAGCCCTCGGTCTTCATTAGCTAATAGGTGAAGTTTTCACTTATCCTACAGATGTCTGTTGTTAACTACGTATTTCAAGAAACACATAATTTACAATGTGTTCAAAAGATATTTCTGCTTCAATATGTTTCAGAATGGGGTAGGAGGTAGGTGGGGTGGGGGAGGGTGCAATTATTCTTTGTCCCAGCCAAGTGTCCTTTTAACCATACACGGTCTCTGCGGTGTAGGGAGATTTCTGTTCCCTTCACCATTCCCGTTAGACGGGCCAACAGCGGACCTCAGAACAGCGGCACCATTGAGTGAAATGATCATTTTGATCCATCTAAGATGTGACCTGGTGCTGGAGAGAGACTTAGCAGGCTAATTAATGCATAATCAATATCATAGTCCTTTATCCAGATGTACATGAAGCCCACCCTCTTAGATTTTGCTTAAAGGTGTCACTTAAGAAAATGTAGTTGGAATTGCAAAAAGTTGGCCAAATTTTTCTTTTTAGTTAGACCACTCTCTGTAGATGTCATGAAAACAAAAATGATTCCCAACAGCATGAAAAGCTTCTCTTAGAAATGAATAGGAAAATGTATAAAAACCCATGTATAACTGTACACCCAGACATTTGAAAAGGTAGACGACATGAATCGTTTTCTTTAGAATATACGTATATTACAAAAATTATTTTGTAAGTAGTGAAAAAAGAAGTTTAAAATGTGGTTTAAAATCTACAAGAAGAGTTTAGGTCCAGATGATTTTAAAAGCAAATTTGACTAAACTATTAAGGAACAGAAAATCCCCATCAGACATAAACTACCTTGGAGCATAGGAAAATAGAACCGGCACCCAGCACAGCCTACCACTGACTCAGCAAGTGGCCTTGGATAAACCCAGCGTCCACGCCTGGTCCCATGTCCCTCACCCACATCAGAGGGATGTTCGGTGACACACCCTCCCCTGCCCAGCTTGGTGCGGGCCCCTGCCTAGCCAGTGCTGCCGGAACCTGCCGAAAGAGCTGAGGTCCACAGAATTGGGATCCGGCCGTTGCACCTGTGGGTTCTAGCCCATCGGGAGACGGGCCGGCTGCTCTGCAGGCAAACCCATCTTTGTCCTGCTGACCCCACCCCACACCTCAGCAAAGTCCTTATCGTCAGCATCATAGACAAGAGGGCGTGTCTCAGAGTGAGAGCCACAGGGTCAGTGAGCGACGGGGCCGTGGTCCAGGTCCTGGGTGGGCCCTAAGAACGCCCAGGCTCGCCCCGCCGTTCCTCCAGGTGTGTGGACCCTGCTGTCAGCCTCGGCTCCGTAGGTGCGAGAGTGGTGTTGGACAACATGGGTCACGTGGGATAAATGAATGGTCGGGCACCCGCGGGTCCTGAACGAGACATGGGGACAGCCGGCGGGGCAAGGGGGCCACCCAAACACCTTCCTTACTCAAGAACAGAACTCCCTGTGATCCACTTTCCACACCGAGACCCCTGTCGTTAGTAACAGAACCAAAAGGAGACGCGAGGGAGTAGGCTGCAGCGAAACAGGAAAGGACGGAGCAGGGCCTGCGGCACAGACCTACACGGGGCTGAGCCCGGCCTTCCCCGGAGCGTGGCTCCAGGGACAGTAAGAGCTCCTGCTCCTGAGGAAGGTGACTCCAAGACAGGCCACTGTGGCAAACGCCACGCCTCACGCTGCCCCTCCGCCCGCAGGGAGACACCAGTGGTGACTACAAGAACGCCCTGCTGAACCTGGTGGGCCGGGAGTCCTGAAGTCTCAGGGGGACGTGGACACAGGCCGAGACGCCAGCGCCCCCGGACCCTGCTCCCTCCGCCTCAGCCACGGGATGGGGGGCCCGCAGACCCTTTAGTCTCCCAGCCCCCCGTCCAGTGCTTTGCAACCAGCTTTCCTAATCGGGCCGGGGCTCCTCCTCCCATCGTCCCCCAGGTGTGAGCACATGACCCACCTTAGCATCCCCCTGGCCCAACAGGTTCCTCGGCAGGAAGAGGTCTGCAGGGTCTGTGGGCGTTTCTAACCCCCTTACCCAGGAGCGTCTCACCATGACAGGTCCCAGAGCCCCTGAGCACAGGTTGCACAGAGAACCAGCCCCTCCCCCGTCTAGGAATCGGGATCTGCAGAGAAGGAGCCAGGCAATGTGGGATTGAATGAGCATCTCAACTGACCTACTTCTCTCTCAGGCAGCCGTGGGGAGGCTGAGCGCCTGTCTGTTTCCGAGCAGACACTGTGGGTAGCTGAGAAAGCACCACACAACCTGAGCCAACTGGGTGTCAGTAATGTCCACTCCCCGGCCTCCTCGAAAACACTAGGGTTAGGGTACAAGAAAAATTCCCTCGTCGCCCTGCTAACAGTGAGCGCTGCAAATCACGGTTCCGACCCGAGGACACTGTTCCAGGAGACATTAGCTGCTCTCTCCGGAGGACACGAACACGGAGCACCTGTCACCCCACCGAAGGCGGCAGGAGCTGGTTCCTGGGAGCATCTGAGATGCCTGTGTTGAACGTTCCAGAAAATAAAGATGTGTGCATTCCAACCTAAGTGTCTTTGGATTTTTAGCAGTGACCAAAGAAGGACCAATTTAATTTGCCGCTGGACATAAATGGGATTTTTTTTTTCCTTCTAGATTTTTTATTTATTTATTTATTTATTTTTATTAATTAATTTTTGTTACAGATGTTTCTCCTTTTCCCCCCACTGATTCCCCCTCCCCGTCCCTCCCTGCCCTTTCCCCAGTTGTTGTCCACGTCCACTGTTCATGCACACATGCATATACGTTCTGTGGTTTATCTCTCCCCCACCACCCCCCTCTTTAGGGGATTGTCAGTCTGTACCCCACTTCCGATCTCTGGGACTACCCCCTTCCTCGGACTGTTATGTTCATTATATTCCACAAATAAGTGAGATCATATGAAACTTGTCTTTCTCTGTTTGGCTTGTTTCACGTAGGATGACACTTTCCAGGTCCCTCCATGTCGTCTCAAAGGATAAGAGATCTCATAAATGGGATTTTAAAAGGCTTTGGGGGGTGATCAAACCTGAGCACACAAGTGGACACACAAGTACTGTGAAGGGGTCGTGCTCATCCTCACCCTGGGACCACTCTTGTAAACGAGGGTCCTTTCTATGTGCCTCTTGATTTGTGCCCTAGATTCTGATATCGAGAGCTGGAGGGGCTTAAAAGCTACGTGCTCTGATTCCGGCCTGCTGCCTCCCCACTGCGGCACCGCCCAGGGCACGCTCCTTGGTGGCCTCCGGTGACGGGAGCTCCCTCACAACCCCCTGGGCACTCAGTGTTTCCCACAGGGGTAATCCGCGGAGCTCTGCCTTTGAATGAGCCAAACTCCGCCCCGTGGAGCCCGCTGCTCTCGACTCTGCCGTCTGCGGTTACAGCGTTTTTATTCTGTCCTTAGCAACATTTCTGATATCTGAAGATGGCCCACACACTTCGCCACGTCTGTCAAAGCTAAATGTCCCCAGTCCATTCAACTGTCCCTCCTGAAGCCCAGGTGAGGCCACATTCTCTGAAAAGACTCTATTTGCAAATTCTCTCTTCAAGTGGAGCCCTGAGGAGCCCGAGCACACCAGGGTCAAGCAGCGGGCAGACCAGTGGTTAGGGATTCGGGAACGGGGCGCTTTGAGCTCACACAGACGAGAGGTAGAGTCTGGCTCTACCCTGTCCCGGCTCTGTGACTCTGACCTAATTATCTATCTATCTATCTATTTATCATCTATCATCTATCTATCTATCTATCTATCTATCATCTATCTATCACCTATCTATCTGTCTATCATCTATCTGTCTGTCTATCATCTATCTGTCTATCCATCTCCCCCAGTTTCCTTACCTTTAATGCAGAAGTGGGATCCCAGCTACAGCTGCATTTCAAGCCACCCCAAAGCCGGTGGCGTGGAATCATCGTGTTACGATGCCCACAGGTTCCACAGGTCAGGAACCCAGCCAAGCCAGGGCGAGGACTTGCGTCTGCCCCAGCAAGGCCGGCTCTGTCAGGAAGACCTGAGGTTTGGAGGAGCTCTGGGGCGGGGCGCTGGAATCATCGGAGCCTCCTCCCTCACAGGCTGGCTGCCCGGGTGAGACGGCCGGGGGCTGGGCTGTCCCCTCGTGCTCCCAGTGTGGCCTCTCCAGCACGGGGCCTCAGGATCGAAGGGTCCTTCCGCGGCAGCTCAGGGCTGCACTGCCTTCTGAGCCTGAACCTCACGCAGATCACCCCCGCCATCCATGCCCTCTTTTCAGACGTCACAAGCCGGCCCAGCTTCAAAGGAAGGAGCCACAGGCCCATCTGACAAGGGAGGAGTGTTAACGATTTGGGAGCCATTTCCTTACATCCCCGAGTAGCTGTCCCCACTCGGGGACAGTGCCAGGCGGCATGATCAACTTTGGGTTACGGGCTGTCCCTGAGGCACCAGGCAAGGCCCCTGGCTGGTGAGGAGTCTTTATCTTTTAGTCCCAGTCCTGCCCTGGACTTACTTTTAGTGTTGAGTCAACAGAGTCACTTTGTGACAAAGCCCTTTAGAAAGGACTTGGAGGGTTCTTCGGGGTTGCAGGCAACGCTAGCCCTCTAGACACCATTTCCTGGAGACCCACCCAAACAAGTCTGACACGGCAGAGGGGATCCTGGAGGGGCGGCCAAGGAGATGGCCCGGGGCCTGTGGCCACGCCCCACTCGCTGCCCAGCCGGGCACCTGTCGCAGCAGAACCAGGCGGTGCCCGTGGCGAGGAGGCGGCTGCTGCGCCCGGGTGGGGAGGCTGCAGGCCAGGGCCCGCGTGGGGGCGTGGGCGACCTCCTGAGGGAGCTCATTTAGCTGAGGACCTTCTCCGGGGTTATTGGGTGACTCTCGTGGCAGCTGGGAAAGGTCCTCTGCTCCTCCAAACCATCTCTTGTTAGAATAACCTTTGGGGCACTTCTCATAAAAGTAATCGCTCTTGGGGAGTTTTGGTTTTTCAGCCACCTGTATTCTTAAAGGTAATTCGGGGTGTGGTCAGTGATCTCAGCAAAGGAGGAAGATGAGAGGCTCGGCTCGGGGCTCCCTGCCTGCGGCCTTGTGTGGCTCTGGGAGGTGGGTGTCGTTTTGTTCTAGAACTCTCCACAGCGGGCGCTCTGCTCCCGCACGCCCTCCAGTCCTCAGCCCCAAGGCTTCTCATTCTCCGCAGTTACATCTGTTTTCTTCCTTCGGGCTGCCAGCTGGTGGGGAGGGCGACACCTGTCCTTGTAGCGAACGGGACTTGAGACTGTTTTCATTCGACACTTGTTCTGCGAGGAACCCAGTGGCCTTTCATAAATTCCTGTCTGCGAAACTCCCCAGAGCGGATGCTCTCAGCAGCTGTGAAATCGCTGGTGCGGCGCTGACCGCAGCACGGAGGGCGGCCATCTGTCCACGTGTCTCCCTCAACACAACCGCCAGCCTGGGCGGCAGGGACTCGGTTTCACGCATGTGTGAGCATTAGGCGGCCAGCACACGGCCAGCCTTTGAAGAGAGAGTTCCGACTGAACAAGAACAAACACGAGCACAGACTTTGGGGACAGAAGACCTGCCAGGCCGGTGAGCCTGAGCCCGTCCCTCACCATCTGATTCTGAGAAGACAGGTTCTCGGACTCCCCGAGGAGGGAAGCCTACTGGGCCAGCCCTCATGAAGACAGTCCCGGAAGGCCTCCGACGGTGAAGGCAGTTTCTCTCAACCCTTTGGCACCTACTTGGCACCAGGCCCCGTTTCGGATGCAATGCAGGTCCAGCAGAACCGGTCCCTGTCTGAGCCCTGTTGGAAGAGCTCAACCCCCTCACTACCCGTCCAGGGGGCATACAGACAACAGCCAGAATCAGGCACGTGCCCGGTGCTGCCAAGAGGCAGGACTAGTCGGTTGGTCATAGCCTCTTTAAAGTTTATCCTTGAGCAAGGGAAGGGTCACTTTGCTGAGAGTTGAATATTTGGACAAAATCAGGGTGCTCTTGGCAAGGAATAAAAGGAGGAATATATTTGTGGCTAATGCTTTCCATGGTCTGTCACCACGACCAAGCATCTACCTGCAACCAGGCTGGAGGGGCCAGGTAAGGCTTCATAAGGGAGGGGATGCTCCAGCGGTCTGGCAGGGTGACCCCGGGCTGTCAGGTAGGCCTGGTAGGGTGACCCCGGGCTCGTCGGGTAGGCCTGGTAGGGTGACTCCGGGCTGTCAGGTAGGCCTGGTAGGGTGACCCCGGGCTGTCAGGTAGGCCTCGTAGGGTAACCCCGGGCTGTCAGGTAGGCCTGGTAGGGTGACCCCGGGCTGTCAGGTAGGCCTGGTAGGGTGACCCCGGGCTGTCAGGTAGGCCTCGTAGGGTGACCCCGGGCTGTCAGGTAGTCCTGGTAGGTGACCCCGGGCTGTCAGGTAGGCCTGGTAGGGTGACCGCAGGCTGTCAGGTAGGCCGGGTAGGGTGACCCCGGGCTGTCAGGTAGGCCTGGTAGGGTGACCGCGGGCTGTCAGGTAGGCCTGGAAGGGTGACCCCGGGCTGTCAGGTAGGCCTGGAAGGGTGACCCCGGGCTGTCAGGTAGGCCTGGTAGGGTGACCCCGGGCTGTCAGGTAGGCCTGGTAGGGTGACCGCGGGCTGTCAGGTAGGCCGGGTAGGGTGACCCCGGGCTGTCAGGTAGGCCGGGTAGGGTGACCCCGGGCTGTCGGGTAAGCCGGGTAGGGTGACCCCGGGCTGTCGGGTAGGCCTGGTAGGGTGACCCCGGGCTGTCGGGTAGGCCTGGTAGGTGACCCCGGGCTGTCGGGTAGGCCTGGTAGGTGACCCCGGGCTGTCAGGTAGGCCTGGTAGGGTGACCCCGGGCTGTCAGGCAGGCCTGGTAGGGTGACCCCGGGCAGTCAGGCAGGCCTGGTAGGGTGACCCCGGGCTGTCAGGTAGGCCTGGTAGGGTGACCCCGGGCTGTCGGGTAGGCCTGGTAGGGTGACCCCGGGCTGTCGGGTAGGCCTGCTATGTGACCCCGGGCTGTCGGGTAGGCCTGCTAGGGTGACCCCGGGCTGTCGGGTAGGCCTGCTAGGTGACCCCGGGCTGTCGGGTAGGCCTGGTAGGGTGACCGCGGGCTGTCAGGTAGGCCGGGTAGGGTGACCCCGGGCTGTCAGGTAGGCCTGCTAGGGTGACCCCGGGCTGTCGGGTAAGCCTGGTAGGGTGACCCCGGGCTGTCGGGTAGGCCTGGTAGGGTGACCCCGGGCTGTCAGGTAGGCCTGGTAGGTGACCCCGGGCTGTCGGGTAGGCCTGGTAGGTGACCCCGGGCTGTCAGGCAGGCCTGGTAGGGTGACCCCGGGCTATCAGGCAGGCCTGGTAGGGTGACCCCGGGCAGTCAGGCAGGCCTGGTAGGGTGACCCCGGGCTGTCAGGTAGGCCTGGTAGGGTGACCCCGGGCTGTCGGGTAGGCCTGGTAGGGTGACCCCGGGCTGTCGGGTAGGCCTGGTAGGGTGACCCCGGGCTGTCGGGTAAGACTGGTAGGGTGACCCCGGGCTGTCGGGTAGGCCTGCTAGGGTGACCCCGGGC